GCATGACATAGGCCTGATTTACTGGTAGTCTTATAAGCCTAGTTAAAAACGAAAATTAATATTTGTCGTTTTATTTTCAGATAACCTCTTTTTCATTTGCCCCTTAATAATACTATATGGGCTGCACAAAATCATGATAAATTATAAAAGCAATTAGTGGAGAATCTAAAAAATGCATGTTATAGTTTAGTTATAGGTTATTAGTGAAGAACTGTAAGGCAGAATTGAGTCATGGTATACATCCTCGGCAAAGTCATTTTCGTTACAAAGTGGAATGTTCCGCGAATCTCCATAAGGATATATAAGCCCTTCGGAATCAACATCCGGTTGCCACGTAGGCATGGGGGGAGTGTTTCCCTCGGTAAGCATTCTTCTTCGGTGCGGTAAAAGCCAAGTATCGTGTATGAGGCAATATGAGTGCACGGGCCCAGGTGTAGGGCCGACGACGTAGATGAGGTTGTAACGAGGATTCATACGAATGATCTATAATAAAGAATAGCAAAAAATTCAAGCATTGAAAATCATTAAGCGCCGTCAAGCTAGTCCCAAATATGGATGTGGACTCGCCGAAATTTTGTGCATCAATAATCTGTGGCAATTAAAACCAAGGTGAAAGGAAAACAGGAATGCTAGATATATTTAACAGATATACAAATCGATATGAAACAATAAATCGTTTCTTGTGTTTCAAAAAGTTAAAAGCCCGGGAACAATGATGATTCTATGATGAAATCAAGGATAACGGTAAGATACCCTACTTAGTTGGTCGTGGTGAGAAAGAGGAATAATGCACTGATTTGTTGATAAATGGATTTCTACAAAGGGTTGCAAAAATGCAGGAATCGGCATTACTGGTGAAAGTAAGCTGTACCGAGTTTATTTTCATTTTCCAAAGATCAGAGCTATTGAAATAAGATGAACCGCTTTTAAGTATTAGCTTAAAATCGACGCATAAAAATGCACTTTCTAGATAATCCAAATATTCTGGAAGACAAACAGAGCGAAAATAGAGCAATAGGCTCGATTAATTTGCATTTTTAAAATATTGGTCTCTCTTAACACAGAAAAAAATAAAGAATCTAAGGCATATTCTCAGACACAGCGGGCTTAGATAATTATTCTTAAAGCTTGTAACACAAAACTAAACACTCGAAGTCATCCTTCATGATTTTGAGTCATAGTGGGAAGAGATGTTCTGACACCGTTTCTCAATGTACAGATGGTAATTATAAAGGCATATAGAAATAAATATTTATATTAACTACAACTACCGTCTAAAAATCTATACAGTCGAAAGTATAGGAAAAAAATAATTACGAATTAAAAATAAAATAAAAAAAAGCAGACTATCTATTCAAAAGAAAATGAGAATAATTTATTTTTAAGATTGAATACTTATACGAAGTACGTTGGATTGCTCAAAACAATACTTTATTATAAAAGTTGTTTGACCTTGTTTTCGCAACTTGGTCATATTGGTAGGAACGCACCTAGTCCGGAGTCAATTGTATGCATCATCATTTCCAGAATATGACCGTGAACGTGATACATTCCAAGACGTTTCGCCGGAATCGTCAGTGAATCTCGCCATTCGTAGCACCATATTTCAACTCGTTAAAGAGACAAGTCTCGTAACTTTCCTCTAATTTCTTGATACAGGCGTGAAAAAGCATTTTATTAACTGTGTCAAAATGACACTTCCTCATTAGATTGCAGAAACGGGGAACGATATCAACAACAATTCAAAAAGGCCAAGTGGCAGGATTGACTTATAATCAAGTAATATAAGACTCTGCAGGAATATGGATACGAAAGGATTCGAAATAGCGGAACACATTGCACGAACAGGGCACGAAATCGACTGAAAATCGACAGAAAGGTTGGCTGCATGTGGTGAAAATACGAGAAAACGCAAGATCCGAGAGGCAATCGAAATACTGAC